ATCATCATACATGCTTACTATATGCTGAGCACTATACTATAATTATACTGTATTTTATTTTGCTGAATATTGCCTCAGTACCTTTGAAGTTATCGATATTCCCGTTTTTTTAGACGAGGAGCTCTAGAAAGTGACTTACCCAAGGTCACATAATTAGAAGTGATGGAGACTGAATCCAAGTCTTCACCTGTTTAACTCAAAGCTCTTCCTAATTACCATCTCATGTTACCTCTCTTTTTGCTTATTAATTATGTAATTAATGTAGGCAAAGATGATTGGTAAAGGAAGTGTTGAAAGCTATATTTCTGTGAAAATGAGATCATTCTCAATCAGACCAAATTTTTCTTTGAAGATAGACTCTCACTGTGTTGCCCAGGCTGGACTCAAACTCCTAGGCTCAAATGATCCTCCCTTCTCAGCCTCCTGAGTAGCTGGGACTACAGGTGTGTGCCACTGTGCCCTGCTGAAATATTTATATTCCATATTTTCTAAGAATATTTGATCTTGGATCTTGGATTATAGTCCTCAAATTAAAATGTTGTCAGCTTACTTTAATTTTCCTTTTCTAAGGCACATTTAATCTATAATTTTGGCCTACTAGATTAACATTTTCTTACATCTTTTTAGAGTGATTACTACACCCAGCAAGATAATTCCAAATTTAGTTTCTTTTTATCAGCATTCTATTTAACATAAGCATGAATAACCAATTTATTAATCATTACTGATTATTGGTATTCCTTCTTTTTTGAATATTTATATAAATACTTATGTTACTCAATTCAGTATGAAAGGAGAGCAAAGTTTATCGTAGAGTAACGAACTTATAAACTAGTTGCTTTAGTATAATGTTTTAACTTAGTTAACTCAGTCATGAAAGTAAATATCATTCCAAATACCCAAACCTTAAATGAATTTAGGCTGATTCAGAAGAATCTGGAACCCTGTCTGTTCTTTGGAGCAGGGACTGCCAGAGCCAAGGTCTAGGCCCCTAGGATCTCTGCTGATCTCTTTATTGCACAGGAAGTCTGAAAGAACAATATGGAGATTCCAAATACTGGGTCCCTACAGAGTGTGAGGTTCTCTTCTAAGTGTTATGGATATATCAGTGAATGAGTTGCAAATACTCATAAGTTCCATGTTCTCGTGGGCTTATATTCAATGGTTAGAGAAATTAAATTAGCATCTAAATAAAAAATAAGATACTTTAAAATAGTGATAAGTGATATAAAGGAAATAAAGCATCATCATTGTTAAGAATAGCAGGGAGTATTTTTCAGGGATTACTTTGAGTTGGGTGACCATAAAGTTTATTGTCCAAATGGGAACTCTTTTGAGAGGAAAAAGGGACACTATTAATAGTAAGATTAGGACAACAGTCGTAAACCATGACTGTGCTGGGCAAACCTGGCCACATGGTCACCCTCCCTTTAAGAGATAATATTTGAGCTGAGACATGAATGATAAACCTCCAGTGGATGCCAAAAAAGAGGAATAGTGGACCAAGAAAGAGGACTGTTCCTTGAGAGAGAGGCCCATAGACAAAGCAGATAAAAGTGTTGCCACAGCAACCTTCATACATCTCCAGGGGCCACCATTCACATTGTGCTTTTTTATGGCTCTTATATTCTTAGTGGGCAGCCAAGAATCAAGTAAACAAGATGATTTCAGATAATGCTGTTTTAAAAGAAATAGGGTAGTATGAAACAATGTTGAATTAGGGCAGTGTTCCCCAACCTTTTTGCACTAGGGACTGGTTTTGTGGAAGACAATTTTTCCACTGATGGTGGATGCAGGGACTATGGTTTTGGGATGATTCAAGCACATTACTTTTATTGTGCACTTTATTTCTGTTGTTATTACATTGTCACTTGCCAGTCAC